GACCCCTCGTGTCACCCCCGTGACACCCCTGTGTCACCCCCCGGGGGACTGAGGCTGCCGGGGGGGCCCGATGTGACTGGGGGAAACCGTGGGGGGACCCCGGGGAGAGGACAGTGAGGGGACCCCAGAATTCGGGGGGTGGGGGGGGACATCCCCTACAGGGAGGGGCTGGGGGGGCTCTGGGTGCTCTAGGTTGCTATGGGCCCCCTCGTTGCTAGGGAGACCGCGTTGCTATGGGCCCCGTTGCTATGGAGATGGTCCTGTTGCTACAGACCACTGTTACTATGGACTCCATTTCTATGGGCCCCGTTGCTATGGAGACTCCCATTGCTATGGATCCCCGTTACGATGGACCCCCCGTATCTATGGAGACCCCCGTTGCTACGGAGCCCCGTTACTATGGGCCCAGTTGCTATGGAGATCCCGTTGCTATGGTCCTGCTGCTCCTATGGACCTGCCGTTGCTATGCACCCTCGTTGCTATGGGCCCCGTTGCTATGGGCCCCCTTGAGATGGAGCCCCAGTTGCTATGGTCCTGCCGTTGCTACGGGCCCCGTTGCTATGGACCCTGGTTGCTATGGACCAGTCGTTGCTATGGACCAGTCGTTGCTATGGCCCCCGTTGCTAAGGGCCGCCGTAAGCCACGGCTCTGCGGCGCCGCCAGGGGTCGCAAACGCGCGGCTGCGGGAGGGGCGGGGCCGCCCGGCAGACTCCGCCCCTCGGTCGCTGGTGGACCAATCAGCGTGCGGTGACGCAAAGGAAGGGGCGGGGCCTGAGCAGCGGAGCCGGAAGAGGTTCGTGGGGAATTGGGGGGTACGGGGGGACCAGTATAAACCAGTATAGACCAGTATGGGTCAAGGACCCCAGTACAGACCCCAGTATAGACCAAGGACTCCAGTACAGACCCCAGTATAGACCAGGGACCCCCAGTACAGACCCCAGTATAGACCAGTAACCCCAGGGCAGATCAGTGACCCCAGTATAAACCAGCGACCCCAAACTGGGGAAGGGGGGGGCGGTCCCAGTGCAGACCAGTGACCATTACCCCCATACTGGGAAGGGGTCCCTGTCCCGGTACAAACTGGGGGATCCCCAGTAACCTCCTCGTCCCCCGCAGGTTCTGCCTGTGCTCCAGAGACCCTCGGCCATGGTGAGTGGGGACGGGGCCACCTTGGGGCCACCACAGGGCTACCGGGGCCACCTCGGGGCCATCTTGGGGCCACCGGGGCCACCACAGGACTGCCGGGGCCACCTCGGGGCCACCGTGGCTGCACCGGGGACCTCTGGGCCACCAGGGCCACCCTGAGGCTACTGGGGCCACCTCAGCAGCATTGAGGCCACCACGGCCACCTCGGGGCCACCGCGGGGCCACCCGGGGCCACCCGGGCCGCTGTGGCTGCCCCGGAGGCATCTGGGCCACCGCGGCCACCCTGAGGCTACTGGGGCTACCTCAGCTGCACTGAGGCCACCTTGGGGCCACCGGGGCCACTGTGGCTGCACCGGAGGCATCTGGGCCACCGCGGCCACCCTGGGGCTACTGGGGCCACCGGGGCCACCACGGGGCCACCAAGGCCACCGGGGGGCCCCTTGTGACCCCCCAATGTCCCCCCAGGGCGAGCGCAAGGGCACCAACAAGTACTACCCCCCCGACTTCGACCCTGCCAAGGTGGGTGAGGGGTGTTTGGGGGGCTGGGGGAAATTTGGGGGGGGGCTGGGAGGGTGTCAGGAGGGATTTTGGGGGGGGT